TATAGATGCATGTATATTATGGTGTTTTGACAAAAGCAAGCAGAGTTCTTTGTCTTGTTGACAAATTCAACATGACAAATAATTTCTTTTCATCAATTTCGACAATTCCGTCTTTGAAGTTACAACTTTGCCTACTTAATTTTATATACATATTTATTTAACAGCGTAAAGGAAAAATGTAATAAATGGTTTCTGCATGTTTTGAACATTAACAGGCACTTAATGAAAACAGTTAAACGCGTGAATTAACAAACATAAATAATAGACCATATCGCAGTCAGAGTCTTCATACCTACATTTAGTTGAGAAAACTGCAAATAATCGTTTTGTCTTTGAAACATAGAAAAGTTGCTAAATTCATCCAACTGATTGAATCATTAGCTAGCAAGACTAAAAAAGGCCAGTAAAAACGTCCACTCTGTATATTCTAGCAACTGGTTGGTAGAAGCACTTAAATGAAAAGTTCTCTTTAAAATGCACAGTTAACAACATTGCATATGAATAGTATTTTATAAAATCTCTATTTTTATTAAATTATATCATAAATGAGTCAATAGTAAAACAGCGTGCTTTGTTTCTGTATTTGACTTCGTTTTCTAATGAAAAGTACATAAATGTGGGTTAGAACGGAAAATAACATGGAAAGTCGGAACATGTATTTCTGAGTAAAAGTAAAAAAATTACAACAAACATTAAATGTTTACTAGATGGGTACGTTGATGTTGACAAAATCAAGTTGATATCGGAAAAAAATAAGTTAAAAATTTAATTGAGGAGGAATGGACGACAAGAGAATGTCTGAAATAAAAATATGCTTAAAAGGCAAAAACAAAATGAAATCAGGTTTCTATAGACGAAACAATCAACAGAATTTACTTCATTATTTTCATTACCGTAGTAAGCACTATTTGCCAATATAATTTGTGGATTTGTATTAATATTCAGCATGTACAGTAACCAGTGTAACTTCATTTTGTAATGCTTAATGTATGCTTGGTACACATATTAATTCTGTGCAAAATGCGCATATTTTAGTAATGCTATTCCAAATGTTCCTTTTATAAATTTAAATTAATGAAATACTATACGTATTTAATACATGTTGAAGGGTTTATCCTTTCGAGATTAGCGGAAATTTATCAGGCAAATATTCCATAAATGTAAAGCCTTTGAAAAGGGCAACATTCCAAGCTCAATAGTATGTTTCATGGTCGAAAACCTTATATATTGGATAGAAATTTTATAAAATGTAAACATTTGAATTGGTTTAATTACAAAATATAACTAATTAATATAAAAAAGAAGACACTGATGATAAGAATTCACATTACAACTATCAATAAATACGTAGATTTTAAGCATCAATAAATGGCTTCAAATGTACCAAACTATGTCAGTTTATCAAGTCAGGCTAAATACGAAGTCCAAAAGATTCAAATCTTAAATAGATCGGGATTAAATGTATTTATATAAGTATATGAGCTAAAGCAACGTGTTGACCAGAGTAAATAATTTCTCTTCAAGGTTTTCAAATTTTGTAGTTTAAACTAAATAGTCTAGTCTCCAATTTTTTTCCTGAAGATGTTACTTTGAAAAATTCCTGTCTCTTCACGCCCTCCATGTTCTGATCAGTTAGGATTTTGTTTTGTTTGTCTATTTAATACCTTTTTCTACTTCGTCAGAAAACGGTGCTCAGATAAGAATCTTATTATAATAGTTACACTTTTGCTAAACCCAATCTACTCGTAGATAACATTAATTCACGCGTAAGTCTTAAAGTTTTTGACTTAACAGACCTGAGTCATTAATACATATGAAAATTGTCAACTCCTACATTCTGAAGAAGGGAAATTCTCCTGCAAAATTGCATAATAAATATTTCGGTAAACGTCAACGTATAAAGATTTTGAGAAGCAATGTTCAGTTTATTAATAGAGGATGCATTGAAATGTTGATTTAGTGTTCAACATTTCAATGCGTCGTGAAAAGCCTCAGTTGTGGAGGATAGTTGGGGAAATGTCATTATAGATTGCAAAGCTATTTATATTATTAGTAGTTACACATATTATTGCCAAAGTCTGAAACATCGCTCAAACATCATTGTACGATATATATTTAAACAAAGCTATTTGGCGCTTAGTCAACATACCGTATTGTTTTGGTTTCTGGAATCCATGGTTTTAATACTTTTCAAAACTTTTAAGGCAAATTACCACGTCAATTAATAAAATTAACTGTGATAAATTTTTACATAATTTCTTGTTTATTTACAAGCCAAATTTTGGCTTTATCTAGTAAACCTTGATATACATGGAACAACTTATATAACGATGAAATTAATAAACAGTTATCAGTTTTTCAACTAACAATTTTGATACAATCATTATATACATGGTTAACCCAAGTAACCTCACCGATTTAGGGTCAAGTTCGTATTTTCAAAAACAAAAACGTTAGCAGAGTTAGTACAGACATAAAATTGCAAAAAATGTAGGTCAGCGGTGGCAAAAGACGGCAGTAAAATAGCGGTTATAACATAGAAGTATTTTCACTTTTGAGATGTCTGCACATTTGCGTAAAACCAGTCTAAGAAAATTACTACTTTTACAGAGAAATAGTACTACTGAACTGGATTTACTATTATAGAAAAAAATCTTAGAGAAAGATGGGAATTATATGATGTTAATGCCCATATCAAAAAAGGTAAATTTCCATAAGAGCAACTTGTCAGAAGATTTGAATCTAAATCTCGCTGTTATAAAGTACATAATAAACAAAATGATTGTTGTAGTTTGGAAATTGTTCACTGGTATGGGATAATTCGAGCCTACTTGCTACTAAGTCGCAACTAAAGTCAATTGATTAAAGAAAGGTTAATTTTTAATAAATCGGCCACTTACCGTTTACAATTACATGGCGCAAAGATGAAATGCCCTGCATTTGTAATGCCTAATATATTATTCACAAGATTAATGGGAAAAAACTGTGTAATTGGTACAGTAAAAGTGAACAATTATGAATATAATTAATTTATTATTTTTCATATCACTTATTATGAATTAAATTAATTTAAAATGGGCATATTTACAAAATAGAAGAGTAGACAAACCGCACGTACGGTGGTGTATATAAGATTAGGTTCATAACTTTTGAATCAAATCTAATATTAAATCATAATATACGCTATTGGGCAGAAAGACCGATTGGGTCGATAGCCTTTTTCTGTAGGAAATAAAGATTATTTATATATATACGCTATTGAGATTCGGGATACATAGCTTTATTATTTAGTGTTAAAAATGCTGATGTTCCTATTTTATTAACCCATTTCCGTGGACTTGTGTTCTCGTTAGTATCAGCTAATGTCATGTTATGCAAATATACTTTCTTATGTTAGACGACGATGTCCTAAATATGTCAATAGCAACCTACATTTTCAAATCGCAATCTATGAAATGTTAACTATGGCATCTATTGGCAAAGATGAACTTATGACTTATTATATATATTTTACCTATTGTAACGTAAAAAAATAATTTTATTGTAAGTAAGTTCGCTCGGATCCTGTAACATGTTACCATTTTGATTTGACCAGAAGAAATTTTACCGTTATTTATTATTTATATTATTTAACATCATTTTTTATCTTATAATATTATTGTTAATCTGGCAGAAATTCTATTATAGGTCGATAGTTCTTTTCTATAACAAATAAAGATTTTCACTACTACCACTATTATTTAATTTTGGTTTTTTACATGCTTTTTTATTTTGTGCTTTCTAACAGGCGAATTTAGTATTCATTTGGTTCGGATTTAGAAATTCATGACTTTTGTTCATCAATCTTATTCAGATATCTATATACCTATCAATCTACTAATCTCAAATGTCGTTAACTACAAAACAGCAATTACTTTAAGTGGGATAGTCAGTTTTGGAAATTGCTTAATGTGCTAATAACCATTGATAATACGAGGCAACAGAAAATAATTGAAACATTTATTCGAACATTTTTTCTAATTTAGGTCTTATTGACCACCATTGATTACTTTTTCGAAAATTATTTATTTCATGTTATCGTAGCATCAGTGGCAACTCAAGTATACATTTGATTGCATTACATACAGGGTGTTCTTTAAATACGTGACTCTCGAGAACATGCAAGGGCGGTCGAAATGATACGATTCGTTCATATTAATTTTTTTCTTAACGTTCCCCTAAAGAACATATCGGATCACAAAAGGTAACCGCAAAAGTTACGTTTCGAGTTCTAACTTTTGAACGGCTTTTTGTTACGAAACCGATCGTAAAGCTCTTAATAGAAACCATTAACGGACTGGCCAAGCACATAATCATCAAATTAATTTCGACTGCAAATATAATTTCTGGAGAAGCTGTTTATTTTTATACAAAAAAGTACTTTTCATTATCGGAGCGATAAATTGAACGGTTTCAAAGATAAATTGATTTTTGTTTAATTAGTTTTAATGCTCTACAGGGATTAATTTAAATAGTTAGTTTTTTGCAATAGTTAAATAAGTCTGTTTTTCTTAAAAAGTAAGCGAAAAATCCTAAAATTGACATGTTGAAAACGTATTTCATTAGTTTAGGTAACTTCAATCCTAAATAGAAAAAGTAAGGGACAACAAGAAGTAATGCATCTGTGGCTTTCAAATAGTTTTCAGCACTGATGCTTTCCACAGTGAATGCTTTCTACCAAAAAAGTTTTTATATACTTTATATATTTTATTACAGTTTTATGAAAATGTACGAATTTTTAATAAATCATAACCAGGACACAGATGAATTGATGTTCGCTTTACGTACAGACAAATTACTTTCCTAATGCTTAAATGCAGTACTTTTTTAAGTCCCTCTGTAACCTCCGCTTGGAATTAACTAACTAAATGGATTTTGAACCGCATTTAGTATTTAATTGCAAACTTGTTTCTTTGCTTTCTTAGTTTGTTAATCTAATCTGTTAATCTTGTTTTCAACAGATTCAACATGTAGTAAAAACGAATTTAAATGTGGCAATGGTCATTGCATACCAAGCCATTGGCAATGCGACAATGATAAAGACTGTAGTGATAATAGCGATGAAGATGAACACTTGTGCCGTAAGTGAGCTGTTTTTAAGCAATACAATTGTATTTATTTTATGATTCATTTTAGAACTCAAAGTATGTGGGCCAGATGAATTCACATGCAGATCAGCACCTGGAGAATGCGTTCCTTTAACATGGATGTGTGATGATAATGCCGACTGTTCAGATCGGAGCGATGAAAAATCTTGCAGTAAGTTGACTATTTTGCAAGTTTCTTATGATTTATTAAGTAATAATACTAAGGCACAAAACGTACAAAGCTCCGGCGAGCACATCTTTAGCGTCTTAAAAGACGGGATTCTTAAAATAGAATATCAAAAATAAGTACATAAAGTAAATATTCTATACTGAACAGATTTTATTAGAAAAACCTTGATTCCTTCACAAATGGCAGTCCGTTAAGCTACAGTAATGTATTCAGTTAGTGGGTGTCTGGTATGCTTTTGAATCAATTTTAAGGGATTTCATTTATAAAAGGTCTTCTTACGATTTTTTTTCAGGCATTTTTTAGATTAAAATCTGAATTGATAAGTAAAATATATTTGCCAAAATAATTTTTTTCTTCATTCAAAAGTTTATAGACTGGAATGTGTTTAATCGAAACTTTAAAAAATGTTCTCGATATACAATAACAATAATTTATTATTGTATAATAATTTATTTTATAGTGGGACTTGATAATATCTATAAAACAATTATATCGAGTTTTCGACAAAAGCGTTTAATTACTTTTAAAGTTTACTTTTTTGGTAAGCCATATGACTCACTTACAAGTTTACTTCTACTTATCGAAATACATATACGTAAAAGTTCTTCTCAAAAATACTTCTTCTGCATGGAGAAAATATCTGTAATAATTCATTTGTCTTTAGAAAAACTTGCAACAAAAAACTATTTGTGGTTGCCTTATAATGTTGGAAGTGTGTGTAAATATTTGTCATCAAACTAATATTTCTTTAAAATTCAATATACTAGGTGGAAAAAATCTGTTTCCATACTCGACGTGTTTCAGAAATATATATACAACCATTAAATATTATTCTACATTAAATTTTAAGCATAAAAGTTGTAATAAAAAGTTAATAATTTGAAAAGTTGTTTTTTTATTCATAAGTCACAAAAATCAATCAAATCAAGTGGCGTCTATTTTTTTGCTTATTTAATGGACAGTATTGGCCAGTACCCACTGCACTGTCGACAGAATTAAATTTGGCATTTTTGTGCAAAAAACTTAATGATACTTCCTAATTTGGTCAAAATACCAATAAAAATTGTTGAAACATTAAAAACATAAAACATTTACAAATTCGCTTTTGTCGCCGTGTGTATCTTAAATTAACTTTTTCCGGCCATATGTCTATAGGAACTTTTGCGTACATCTATCCCTGAAACACCCTATATATGCAAATGTATGAACTGGGAAAAATATGGATTCTGACGTATCAAACAAAGTCTTTGGTAGCTGCGTTAGTGATAAATGGCTGTTCTAGGATTCTAATAATTTTTAAAGTAGTTTCAGCCTATTTCACGCTATTTACTTGTTTAGACAACTTTCAATGGTTTTGCTTAAATGTATAGTTGAAGCATTGCACATTTCAGCTGCCATTGCAATTAAAGTTGAAGTTATAATAACAAATAAACCAATAACTCTTTCAACGTCCGTTTGTTTTAAAAAATTAGCCTTAATTAATACCATTTACAGCAATCAAAAATGAAATGCGGACTTAATGCGGAGTAATTTCAAAAAGTTTCCCAGCTTACCTCCGACTGTTCCTAACTCTATGAGAAAATATTTTGTAAGCGTTTTCGTAGATTAACTTTGGCGGTTATTTGTTAACCGAATAAATTAGACACGAAGTTTATTGAATTAATTCCGACCGTTCTTCCCGAGATTTGTAAATATATCGAGGACCCCAACGGAGGGGTATAAATTTCCCTGCTTTGGGCTGTTTTGAGCTTTCAACTGATTTCAAAAGCTAATGAAGTTGATAACGAGCATTTGAACGGTTGCAACAATTTGATTGTTTAAATACGAACGGTTACTTCAATACGTACATATGTGATATGGCACATAAATTATCGTCAATAAAGAACGGTTTTATAATAAATGTAGTTAAAATGCCAGCCCCATACATTAACTTATGAAGATACTACTTAATGCAAGTAAGCGCTTATGTGCAATTTCCATGTAAAACCTATACCAATCGATCGATTGTAATGTCAATGTAATGATAATGCACCTGCAAAAAAATACTTTTATCGATAGTTTTCTCTCAGTTTTCGATTAATATTTTAGAATAGATCTCAATCGATTATATCTTCAATACAAAGTTTTTCTGGAATACTGTTGGAAAAAAAATGTTTTTCCGATTTTAGAATTTCTGAATTTAGGTATAGAGTAATTTAAACTATTAGTTGCTTTGATCATGGTGTTTTCCTAATTAAGGAATTCAAATGTCTTATTATTTATGTGTTTTTTTATTGCAATTCAGCTGAATAATCAACAACTGTTTGAAAATCTTCTTTTCATAGAACATAGACCTACATATGTAATTTAATATACAAATCACTCTCACCTGTAGAGCGGGGGAAATTTACTTTTAATTAATATCTGCGTGAGCAGTAGGATTTATCTGCAGTCTGTCACTGGTTGGCCGTAGGATAGCGATTTCCAGTGGCCCACTAGGTCGCCCGATATTACTGCCCCAGATTATTTTATGGGAGGTTTTTTAAAGGGCAGATTGTATAAAGGAAAACCATTGAATTTCAATATTCTCAAGATAAAAATTGGGCCTGATATCGAACATGATGGTATTTTACTTGTAATTTCTAATTTGGAGTCTCCTTTTTAGGAATTCCTCGACAGCAACTAGATATTTTATTGAATTTAATGTGTCCTTAAACAATTTCCAGCTATTGCTAAATAATTAAGCATTATATTAGTTACAATTTAAAAAATTCTGTTTCTAGATGAGACTTGCCGAGCAGATGAATTTACATGCAAGAATGGCAAATGCATTCAGAAAAGATGGGTTTGTGATTCCGATAATGATTGCGGAGATAATTCTGATGAAACTGAATGTCCAGAAGTGAGTTGTCCGCCTGATGAAGAGTTCCAATGTAGTGACCGGTACTGCGTACCCGCTAAGTGGAAATGTGATGGCGAATATGATTGCATAAATGGACGAGATGAGCAAGGATGCCCACCTAGACCTCACCCAACAGTATGCCTACCCTCGGAACATGAGTGCAACGACCGAATTACCTGCATTCATAAAGATTGGCTTTGTGATGGTACAAATGACTGTCCAGATGAATCTGATGAAGCACCAGCTCATTGCGCTAATATTACTTGTCGCCCGGATCAATTTCAGTGCAACGATAGATCATGTATTCCGGGAGCTTTACTCTGTAATGGCCGTCCGGATTGTGCTGATGGAAGTGATGAACACGAGTGCGATAGTGCAAGTATCGGGGCTTCAATCCCAATATGTGATCCTACTACGCACTTTTCATGTGGGCCTGGGGGTCCCTGTATAACCCTTTCTCGTGTCTGTGATGGCAAACCCGATTGTTCGGCTTGGGAAGATGAACCTCGAGGCAAATGCGGTGTAAACGAATGCATTCACGATAATGGAGGCTGTGCTCATCGCTGCGTAGATACACCTGCAGGGTATAGATGTGACTGTCGTCCAGGATTTTCCTTGGCAGCCGACAATCATACTTGCCGCGATATTGATGAATGCGAGATTGAAGGAGCCTGTTCCCAATCTTGCCATAACGATAAAGGAGGATTTAAGTGCGAATGTTTACCGGGATATGCCAGAGATCCTAGAGATCACACTCGATGTAAGGCTGTGGAAGGCCACGCCTCATTACTTTTCGCCAGGCGGCGAGACATTAGAAAAATTTCTTTGGATCATCATGAGATGACCAGTATAGTAAACGAAACTAACTCTGCCACTGCGTTGGACTTTGTTTTTCGGACTGGTATGATATTTTGGAGCGACGTTTCCGATAAGAAAATCTATAAAGCACCTATTGATGAAGGCAACGCAAAGACAGTGGTAAGTATGACTTTTTATAAAATGTTTGAGCTTTACCGATAACACTGGAAGAAAGAAGGCCCACGGGCTGAATTGTGATGTCACGCAAAATAGGCTGTCACGCGGCGTAACCCATAGCGGAAGGTTAGCGAACAAATCCATAGATCAACTAATCAATTATCAAGATTTTTTACCAAAATAATATATTCTGGAATTTATATGCTTTACTTCTCTTTTTACAATGTTTAGTTTAAATGTTCCATTGCTAATAAAGAACTCCTTTCCATTGCTAATAAAGAACAGGCAGTTAACTAGCCGCAAACGTTTTAGTTTCAGTTATAACTTAACATTTCCTGCTTTCAAAGCGT